TCAAGCTAGCAGTGGACCTCTCAGCAGAAATCTTACAAGCCAGAAGACATTGAGAACCTATTTTCAGCATCCTTGAAGTAAAGAAATTCCAATCAAGAATTTAGTATTGTGCCAAACTATACTTTATAAGTGAAGGAAAAATAAAATCCTTCCTAGTCAAGCAAACACTGAGGGAATTTGTTACAAGTAAACCAGCCTTATAANCATATCCAGCCAAACTAAGCTTCATAAGCAAAGGATAAATAAAATCCTCTACACAAGCAAACACTAAGGAAATTCATTATTACCAGACTGCCGTCTTTAAGAGAGTGCTAAACATGAAACTGAAACATGTTTTGCTACCACAAAATCAAACTTAAGCACAAAGCCCACAGATACTGTAAAGCAACTACACAATCAAGTCTACCTAACAACTAGCTAACACAATAACAGGATCAAAATTTCACATACCAATACTAGTATTAATCCACAAATTAATCCACAAATAAAGGTCCCGTACAGAGTCAAGACCCTCTGAAAGCATCCAGAAATGAACCGAACTTGCTAGGCCTAATGTAAATGGGCTAAACATCCCACTTAAAAGGAATGGGGTTGTAATCCAGATAAAACAACAAGACCCAGTTATCTGCTATCTTCAAGAGGCCCATCTCACAAATAACAACATCCACAGGCTCAAAGTAAAGGGATAAAGAAAGATCTATCACGCAAATGTAAGGAAAAAAATGGGGTAGTTGCAATTCTTGTATCAGACACAACAGAACTTCAACTGCCAACTACTAAGGACAAAGACGAACATTACATAATGATAAAGAGAAGAATTCAACAATAAGATGTAACTCTCCTAATTATATAATCACCCAACATTCGAGCACCCAGATTCATAAAGTTATTGGCCTAGGAAAAGACTTAGACACACAGTAATAGTGGGAGACTTCAACACCTCACTGACAGCATCAGACAGATCACTGGGGCAGAAAACTAACAAAGATATTTTGAACTTAAACGCAACAATTGACTGATTTGACCTAACAGACATCTACAGAATAATCCACCCCAAAATCACAGCATATACGTTCTTCTCATCTGTACCCAGAACACATTCTAAGACTGACCATATGCTGTCATGAAGTCTCAATAAATTTAAAAAAAAAGGAAATCATATCAAGTATACTTTCAGAGTACAGTGCAATAAAAATAGAAATCAATATCAAGATCTTTCAAAATTACACAAATACCTTAACAATGTTTTCCTGAATAACTCCTTGGTAAACATCAAATTTATGACAGAAATCAAAATATTCTTTGAAATTAATGAAAATAGGGATATAACTTACCAAAATCTCTGGAATGCAGGAAATTTTGCTGTGCTAAACACCTTCACCAAGAACTTAGAAACTTAGAAAGGTCTCAAATTAGCTATCTAATTTTGCACCTAGAGGAACTTAAAAAAAAAAAAAAAAAAAAAAAAAAAAAAAGTCAGTAGAAACCAACCCCAAGAAAGCAGAAGAAATAACTAAAATAAGAGAAGAACTTAATGAAATTGTACATCTGGAAGAATTTGCCTGTGAATCCACCTGGTGGGTTTTTCTTTTTCTTTTTGATTCAAGACACAATGATAAAAGAAAACTTCAGGCCACTATCCCTGATGAACAGATACAAAAATCCTTAACAAAATACTAGCAAACCAAATCCAGCAGCACATCAAAAAGTTAATACACCACAATCAAGGAGGCTTTATTCCTGGGATGCAACACTGACTCAATATATGTAAATCAATAATGTGATTTACTACACAAAAAGAATTAAAAGCAAAAACCATATGATTATCTCGGTGGATGCAGAAAAAGCTTTCAATAAAATCCAACATCTCTTCATGATAAAAACTCTCAACAGACTAGTCATCAAAAGAGCATGCCTCAAAATAACAATAGCTATCTGTGATAAAGCCACAGCCAACATCATACTGACTGGCCAGAAGCTGGATAACTGGAACAAGAATGCCCAAATGCCCACTCTAACCACTCCTAGTCAACATAGTACTGGAAGTCCTGACCAGAGCAATTTGGAAAAGAAAAAGAAAGAAAAGGCATTCAAATAGGAAAAGACAATCTATCTTCACTAACGATACGATTCTATATCTTAAAGCCCCTAAAGATTCCACCAAAAGGCTCTTACAAGTGATAAACAAATTTAGCAAAGTTTCAGGATACAAAATCAGTGTACAAAATTCAATAGCAATTCTATACACCAACAGCATTCAAACTGAAAGTCAAGGAATAAGACAATCCCATTTACAGTAGCCACAAAACAATAGAAATACCTAGGAATACAACTAACCAAGAAGGTGAAAGATCTCTATGAGAAGAACTACAAAATACTGCTGAAAGAAATCAGACACAACACAAATAAAATGGAAAAATGTTCCATGCTCATGGAAGAATCAGTAACATAAAAATGGCTATACTCCCCAAAGTAATTTACAGATTCTATGCTATTCCTATACAACAACATCGTCTTTCACAGAATTAGAAAAATTTCATATGGAACCAAAAATAACACAAACAGCCAAAGCAATCCTAAGCAAAAAGACACAGGAAACGCCAAGTCTCAATAAGGTAGATTCCTTCAAAAAGGAAATACAGGTAACATGGATTAGAGATAATTTCTCAAGAAAACAATGTAAATAGTTGTTTTACCGGTGATAATTGGGGTATCTCAAAATTCTATCACTCACTAAATCCAATCTGAAGAAGCGCCATGCTTCAATGTAGCTGATACAAATAAAAAATAGCCTCTGGAGTAGCAATCCCTCTTTTGCCATTTTGGCAACTCAAGTAAAAGATTTAAATTTTTTCATATTAATGCTTTAAAAAAATTACTAACATGGTAACATATATTATATATATTACTATATTGTGCTGAAATATGAATTCATGAGGCTTTCTCTTCAAGATTGACCACACAGGTATTCTTTCCGTTTGATGTCACTAAAGTATAAAAACGTATAATACACAGATGGCAAATAAGCATATGAGAATATGTTCATCATCAGCTATTATGGACTAAATGTTTGTGTCCCCCAAAATTCATATGTCAAAATCTAATCACGAGTGTGACAGTATTAGGAGATAGGGCCTTTGGAAGGTAATTAGGTCATAAGAATAAAGTCCTCATAAATGAGATTAATGTCCTTTAAAAGAGGGCAGAGAGCTCTCTGGAGTTCTTTCCTCCATGTGGGGATAGAATGAGAAGTTAGCAATCTGCAACTCAGAAGAGGACCCTCACCAGAACTTGACCATGCTGGCACCATGATCTCAGAGTTCTGGTCCACCAAAACTGGGAGAAAAAAAGTATATTATCTATAAGCTATCCAGTGCATGGTATTTCATTATAGCAGTCTAAACTAAGACATGAGCCATAGGAAAATGCAAATTAAAATCACAATGCTATATATTCTCGTCATAACAGCTAAACTAAAAAATGGTAACATTACCAAATATTTGTGAGAATATTAAGATTTCTCAGACATTGCTAATGGAAATGTAAAATGGTACAGCCACCCTGGAAGATCATTTGGCCACTTCTGTTTAAAAAATTAAAACTGAGACAACTGAGCATGGCAACTTGCACCTATAATCCCTATTACTCAGGAGGCTAAAGCAGGAGGCTAACTTGAGCCCAGGAGTTTGAGGCTGCAATGAGCTATGATCACACAACTACACTCCAAATTCGGTGAAAGAGCAAGATTCGGTCTCTTAAAATAAATAAATTAATGCATACATACATACATACTAGGCCTATACTTACCATGAACTCAGAATAAAACTCCCAGGCATTTCTCCCAGAGAAATAAAAATTTATGTCCTTATAAAATTCTGCAGATGACTATTCATATCAATTTTATTTGTAATAACCAAAACTGTAAGTAACTAAAATGCCCCTCAATAAATGAACAGTTATACAAACTGTGGTACTTCCATACTACAGAAAACTATTCAGTAATAAAAAGGAACAAACTACTGATACATGAAAAAAATCCAATGCCAAAAGGTCACTTCTTATATGATTCCATTCATATTACATTCTCAAAATGGCAAAATTATAGAGACAGAGAATAGTGCATGGTTGCTAGGGTTTACGCACGGTGCTCAGGGTAGGACACATGTTAAACTAGGAATCAATGTAAAAAGATAGCACAAGGAGAACTTTTTGGTAATGAAACATTTCTGATTACAGTAGTGGTTAAACAAACCTATAACAAAAAATGGCAACAGAACCATGTGTACATTTTACCTATATGAAATTCCTGGTTTTGATATTATACTGTAATTACGTAAGATGTAACCATTTGGGGAACTGGGTGTACCATACATCGGACTTCTCTGTACTATCTTTACAACTACATGGTGAAATCTATAATTATTTCTAAATAAAAAGTTAAAAACAACAACTATTTGATGATACACAATAAACTTCTAAATTATTTTATTTAGGGTGAAAAATTATCTATTAAATCCATAAGACTTGAAGAAAATAAGTCATTTGCTCCATAATGTCTATTATGTTGGTGCTGCGAGGGAGACAGGTTTTCAAAAACCTACCTGATGTTTACAATTGTCCAGTTGAGAAATTATAATATTACTATTGGTATAATGTAAAAGTAGACTGCATTGCTTTGCAAAGACATTAAAAGTTAAAATATTGAAAGTGCACCTAGATTTGACAGCATTTGTCTTTCTTCAGAGATTAAATTCCATAAACTGTGGCTAAATCTAAATACATATGAACCTAATTCTAAGAAGTATATCTTTTCAAAGTAATATAGTAAGGTTTCATTTTTGATACATAAAATATTTGCAACAGCAATGAAACGAAAGCAAACTGACCTAGAGGACACTTAAAATAAAAATAATAATTCCTATAAAAGGATTAAGTGGTCCCATGCATTTACTTGAGATATTTCATGCCACCAAAAAAAAAAAAAAAAACAAACACATCCATCTCTTCTAGCCAATATTTAATAATCCCATAGTAATTGATGTATAAAAAAATGTCTTTATGACCTGTTACCACCCAAAAGAATGCATCATAATAACTTTCAAGAATATGTTCTTTGACGTCTAACCTCGGCTCTTCTTTAGAATTACCTGTAAGAAGGAAAAAAAATAAGATTCATATTATACCTATGAAAAATAAAACATCACTCCTTAACAAAAAGTTAAATAGTCCTGGGTACATAATATGCAAGATTGAATTTATAAAACCCAATTTGGAAGGTGATTAAGGAACTTTTGTCTTAGATTTCTCTAAAATAGCCTTATCTCAATGAATATGAAACTTGCCTAGATTCTAAAAACCTGGCTTTATTAGTTACCTCTAGATTCTTCAACTGTAAGCCAAAAGTACCCAGATTAATGGTTTCAAACTTGAAATTTTTAGACAATATAGTTATCTAAATTAGGAGTTAAACAATATCAATTAAGAAGTTAAACAACATTCTAAAACTCAAAGTCTTCTAAGTCAGACATTTCACAACTATAAAGTAGTACAAATCCACTGCAACATTAAATCTATTATATTTGGACTGGAATTATAATCATTTGAGACCAAAACTGGCTATCTTATGCTGAACAGTTTGTTAAGTAGACTATTTTCAAAATATATAGTCTGTGAAACAAATAAAAGGAGATTTTAGTTGTAAAAAGACTGACAGCATTAGTCAGAAGATGTTTGTTTTTTTTTTTTAAGTATCTACTATTTTAAGTAAATAAACCTATAGTTTATTTTAAAAATCCTAAATTTAAGGCATACATGTATATTCTTCAATATCTTAAGCCTTGTTTTTCCTGCAGAAAAATATTTACATCGACTTTAATTGCCTAGAAATTTGTTGGAATGTTTATAATTGCAAGATAATTTAAAGACCCTAGAAAATGCCAAGACATGTACATTTCTAGGCTTCCAAAAGGCCATCAAATAAATCGTATCTAGGCTAGTACTTCTCTGTTCTACAAGATAATATCTTAAGTACTTCAAAAGGAAGTTTGAATACTCAAATGAATTTACAAAATGCTGAGTATATTACATACTCAAAGTTACAAAATACTAAACAGAATTCAACAAGCTTTCTTACTGCTATATTTCTCTCGTAGCCTTTCATAACTTTACATAACTATCGTTACATAAGATGTTAGGATTGTGAGAAACTGGATACAAGGCGCATGGGAAGTCTGAACTATTTTTGTACCTTATTTCAAAATACATTTAAAACAAAAAAGTCTACAAAGAGGTAGACTGTAAAAAATAAGTTTCTCTCCTCTATCATCTCCAGTGAACTGTGGTTGCCAGTTTCTTACATATTCTTCTAGAAACTAGTTCTACAATAATATTGTGACTAATCAAGGAAATATAGCATGCTATGTTATCTACACTTATTTGACCACAAAAGCATTTGAGGTAGGGCCTCTATCAACATTATTGAAAATAATGTTTTCAGGAACATATCTGGAAAACTGTGCCACAGGCAACATATTCTTAACATTATATAAAAACAACAGTAAGAAGCAATCATCTCTACTTATATAAGAGATTTCACCCATAAATCACTCAAGTCTCAAAACAAAGTCATAAGAAATCAAATAATTAGTGATATGGTTTCTTTTTGTGTCCCCACCCAAATCTCATCTCAAATTATAATCCCGTCATGCTGAGGAAAGGAGATAATTAGATCATGAGGGCAGTTTTCCCCATCCCGTTCCCATGATAGTGAGTAAGTTCTCTTTCCTTTATAAAAAACCCCAACTCAGGTATTCCTTTACAGCAGTGTAAAAATGGACTAATACGATGGGGTAATTAGGATAATTTCAAATTCTCAAGAAGAAAGTAAGTTTTGATAAATTTCAAAGTGATATATCTTCTCAGCCTACAGATTAGCAGTCTGTAGAAACATGAATGTTTCCTCTAAAGCAGTGGCCATTAATATTACCATTGGAAATCAGTGATATACACATGGATGAAATCTAACTCCTTAATTAAAATCATTGACTCAGAAAAGGCAAAATATCAACTCAATCAACAAAGCTGAGTAAGGTATACAAATCAGAAGTGATGAACTGAGTGGTATTTTTGAAGTGTAATTCTTGCTCAAGAAAAGAAATATGGATTTTACCTTTGCTGCGGCCAGTACATGTTCCTTGTTAATGACTCTACATTTATTTTCACAAGCGTTTGTCCTGGACTCTTCTGCTAATCGACGAACAAACAGTAAACAGCTCAGATGAACCTTTAAAACAGAAAATCCAAGTGGATTTTTAAATACTGATGCACTGAAATAATGAGTTTTAGAAAATAATTATCTCAAAATTTATTGTTGTACTATTTACTTTTGTGATTAAATTAACTCTTCCATTTAGACTTACATAGAATTCAGTCTAATGTAAGTCCATCTTAGATTCCCTGCAAAGAGACTAGGTCATTGCAATACATGAAACAAGCTTATGTAAGGCAGACCAAAGACCACAAACAAGAGCATTTTTTGTAAAGCATCATTATATATCAAACTTATGTAAGATTCACTCAGTAAAAAATATACCTGCTTCTGATACAAATAGATTTGAATTTATAACAAAATTTTAAATTTCCAGAAAATTTTAAATTAAAACATATCAAAAACTACGTTTTAGGCTATCATTCTACAATCCGAGGTCAAAGATTTTTAAACAGATATGTTTAATTTGAATATTTATTTAAAAACACGTTACTAGTTGAAATTGTTTAAGTTTGCTTAATTAAAAAGGATATGTACAAAGGCCAAGTTATTTGTCATCCAACAACTATCACAAACTAACCATAGTTACTATTAATAATCTTCAAGACTCTTTTTAAGAAATTATTTAAAATAGATAATATAAGCAGACTCATAAATTTAAAAGCCTATAAAAAAAAAAAAACTATAGTTATGTAAGATGCCAGCATTGTGGAAAACTGGGTAAAGGATACATGGGAACTGTGTACTATTTTTGCACCCTCTTTTGAGTCTATAAATTATTTTAAAATAGAAATATAAAACAAAAAAGCTTACAAAAGGGTAGACTATCAAAAGTAAGTCTACTCCCCATCTCATCCCCCAGTCAACCATAGCTGACACTTTCTTGTACATTCTTACAGAAACAAGCTCTACATATAAGCAAAACATATGTACTCATCATCAGATAATAAATATATATCAACATTATCTGATATTTTATATATATGTGTATATATATATATATATATATAAACCAGCTCTGATATATTGTATACAATAACATCTTGTTAAGTATTTTACTCAAAATCACCATCCAGAGCAACAAAAGTCTTAACCTATAAGCACATTCCTTGGGAAAAAAAGTTAAGGTACATGTAATCCAAGCAAAAGAAAACGTGAAGTGAGCTACAGTCTTATCCCAATCCCCACTCTAGGATATGTAGTACTCTTATTTATATTATTGCACATATCTTCCCCATCCTTTGCTTCTGCCAGGTACCTGAGGGCACTACTAACTTAGATCCAATTAGATAGTATCTTTAACATGACGTATTTTGTTATTTACATCACAGCAAGTGATTCTTGCAGTTAGAAAAACAATTTATACACAGAACTTAACATTCACTATCTTGTGCACTGCACACTCTCTTCTCCCACAGTTCATTAAATGTTAAATAACTACTAATGTGATGTTTTAATGCTTTATATACTGCAGAAATCTTTAATAGATTGTTAAATAGGTGTTTAATAACATTCTAGTGATATGTGGAGAAAACAGAGGTTTGGGAATTTAAACAAAATGAAGAATCTATGAAAGGTGGATATTCTTTTGGTACATTTTTGATGCACTGTCTTCTTTGAATTCTCACAAGAACTCCGAGGTAAAACATCCTAATTCCAATTATTCACATTATACTGTGTCAATTATTTACTAAACTTTCAGTGATAGCCCATTTCATTTGGTAGCAAAAACACCCCATAATATGGCACAATTTCATTTGTTAATCTATACTTTCTACTTCTAAAGGTAAACAGCTTCCAGATACCCTCAGGATAAATTCCAAATTCCTTATCACTAAATCCCACTTGACTGGGGTTCCAGTTTCATCTCTCACCATTCTCAGCTTCCAGTTCTACACTAGGCCTTTTGAACTTCTTTGAGAATTCAAATGCAACCTTGCTCTAGGCATCCTATTTGTTTACAGACTTCTCAGAAAGTCCAAATTCCCCCAATATGTAAGGTTATATTGATCCACAGCACCCTGAACTTCCTATCACTGCATAGACTGCATCATGCTGTAATTTCTGACTTAGCTGCCTTCCTCACTGTACCGTAAGGACAAGAATTATGCCTAGCCTTTTCAACACTGTTAAAGGACAACAGTGTCCTTTAACACATTGCTCAATATGTAGTAGATAGCTAATAATTATTACTGCATGAAGACCCCACCACATCTCCCAAATAAGGCCAAAAGAAATTTTTTTTTAAATCAGCCTCAATTAAACTACACTGTCTTAAGACTTAATTCATTAACCTAGATGGAATATCCTTTCCTTTTCATGGTCATGAGCCATGGATGCTGTGATGGTTAATACTGAGTGTCAACTTGACTGGATTGAATAATGCAAAATATTTTTCCTGGGTATGTCTGTGAGGGTGCTGCCAAAGGAAAATAACAGTTGAGTCAGTGGACTGGGCAGACCCACCCTCAATCTAGCTGGGTACCATCTAATCAGCTGCCAGCAGGGCTAGAATAAAGCAGGCAGAACGTGGAAGTACTTGACTTGCTGACTCTTCCAGCCTTCATCTTTCTCTCGTGCAGGATGCTTCCTGCCCTTGAACATTGGACTCCAAGTTCTTCAGCTTTTGGACTCTTGGACTTATACTGGTAATTTGCCAGGGGATCTAGGGCCTTCAGCCACAGACTGAAGACTGCATTATCAGCTTCCCTGCTTTTCAGGTTTTTAGACTGGGACTGGCTTCCTTGCTCCTCAGCTTGCAGATGGCCTATTGAGGGACATCACTTTGTGACTGTGTGAGTCAATACTCCTTAGTAAACTCCCCTTCATATATACATCTATCATGTTAGTTCTGTCCCTCTAGCAAACCCTAATACAGATACTGAGACAAATTAGTATCACTTTTTCAGAACTCACAAAATTTTTTTCAAGCAACCTATATCTATGTGATAAAACAGTTAATTGAGTGGTGCTACTCCCGTGTGCTAAGGCTTATATTAAAATGATCAAAACAAAAGTTAGTTTTAGGGTATTTAGTTAGGCATTCAAACTTGAAAAAGATAAGCTATTCAATCAATAATTTACTTTTAAAAATCCGCTTGCTTGAAAAATAAACCAAAAGAAAATTATAAATAAATATTCACTTGACAGTCTCAGTTGACAGAAAGACTGGGCCAGCCTGACTTCTTCCTCCCTTTGTCATAGCACTTTTGAATTCTACATGAACTATAAGCACCCAGATATTTGCATAGTATTCCTTTAACAGATGTTAACTCTTTCCCGAGTACCATCCCTGGGGCTAAACCATCGAATAAAGCATAACACAAACAAAATAACAAAATGTCACTGAAGAATAAAGTAACACAATGAAATCACAAGTAAAATGCTAGAAATGACATCAATCCACATATAGTTATCATGTATTTCCAAAATTAATTTTACACTCAGAATGTTGAAGCTATTATGCTAAACACTAGGAATACAAAAATTTCCCAGTTCAAGTTCCCAGACTAGTGGGAGAATCAAACCCATAAGGAAAAAGGCAAATGTGTGACACCAGATGATGGAGAAGAAGATAAGACTGATCCTTTCTAAGGATATTAAGGAACGCTTCACTGAAGTAACATTTGAACTGGATTTTGAAAACACTGTAGGTTGCCAAGTAGAGTAGAGTGAAGACATCTTCAAGCAGTAGAAATATCAGGTATAAAAGGCAGCATAAAAGTAGATTAATTTTGTGTTAAAGATAATGGGAGACAGAAGAGAAGATATTCATTCTCCTCAAGAAGCTGCATACCACACTAGGAGACATCAACATATGAAACTCCTAGACAACAATCCAACAGCTCAATTATATAATGTATACTCTTAGGGCTCACCAAGTTCAGAAAAAAAAAAAAAAAAAAAAAAAAAAAAAACTTCCTTAAAAAAAAAAAAAAAAAAAAAAAAAACAAAGATCAAAACAAACTTCCTTAACTATAAAAAAAAACTTTGTGGATGATGTAGGATGCCTGCCTGCTATGTAAGATTATGAAGTGTCAACCGTCAGCAGAAAACTATAAAGAAACCAAGGTAATGCATGCCATATACAAGACAGTGAAGGGGAACTGTTTAATGAAAGCCCGAGATGAGGAGCGTACTAACTGGGAAAAGCTGGTAACCAAAGAACATTCTATCCCCCATCAACGCAACCACTTGAAATTTCAACTCACCCACCTTCTCATGCCACCTGGATCCCACCGCACAATGGAGTCCCTCTGTCCATGGGTACTTTGGGGCAGAAAGGGGTAGATGTGGGAGGATGCTGACTACAGAAATTTCTAAGCCATTTGCACCAGCTGGTAGTCTCTTGGATATCTTTGATAGGTACATTTCCGCTCCCTCCATTTAGAAGCCCCAGTGAAAGCTCCATAATAAACTACTTAAAAATGTTTTGCAAGTGAATTTCATTTTAATTCCATTCATTTGTGCCACCGCTATCAGCGGCATAGGGTAGTTAATTGGGGTGGGGCACAAGACAGCCCGTATTGCCTTTTCTTACAGAATTTAAGAAAGGAACAAAAAGAAGGGCAGTGGATAGAAGTAATACTTTTTGGGGGGAAAATGTGTTTTTGTTCTGTTTTGGCTTCAGAGAACAAAAAAGGGGAACAGTGGAGATAATTCTAGAGTAGTTTAGCAAAAAGGAAGCAACAGATTGGGTGCCAATGGAGAACTCTAGGAAGCAAAAGAGAAAAGAGAAGGTAGAAAAACCAATGTCGCTTAAGAACAGTTAGGATGATGCATTCCCAAGACTATCCCTGTAGTATGCTCCTGTTATCCACAATGGAGTACCTTGATCTTCTGGAAATTATGTGTCCATTTACAATAGTTCCTTTACTCAAAGAGCTCTTGTGACAAGGTACCAAACATGCCTCCTGTGTTTAAACCTACAGAAACAATGTTCATTGTGCCAGAGGAATATGTGTTCCAGGCATTCAACGCAAAAACTGAATTTATTTCAAGACAGAAACATTATTATACAGTGGTTTGACTGGGACTTCTAATTAGGAGAACATTAGGCTTCAAGTATTATAAGTCAAATAAGAAGACTTCAGTAGTCTAGCTTAAAAACTGACAAGGTGTTCTAGTATTTGTCTAGGAAAATGAATTAACAGTTGAGAGCATTCTTCCTACAAATAAACTTTCGCATCAGGGTCTTTTAGTAAGCACCCTAACCTAGGGGAAACAGGGCAATGTTTGGTTAAATCCGTAAAAAGAGGAGAGGGAAGGAGGCATGGGAGGAAAGAGGAGAGAGGGAGGGAGGCAAGAAGGGAGGCGCTTAAAAGGCATTGTGAGCAATGCCTTTTACAACAGCTAAATAAAAATGACCCAGACTGAGTTCCAAAATCTATTTTTTAAAGAGTGTATCTTTCATACCCTTTGCAAGTACATTAATCACAATGCCAGACCGTGTTCCTAAACAGCAATACTTAAAAACTGTAAGCAGCAACGTACGCTAAGCTCATGTAACTAAGAGCCTATCTTTAAAAAGATCCAGATATTTACATTTCGGCGGGGCCCGGGACAACTGAGCGCCAGGAATACGAACTGACACGCCAGGGTGGGGCATACGTAACTTGTCATTGCTGGAACTGCCTTAAACATGGGCCTGAAAGAGCTATTGATTGGCGCTATTGATTGGCTCGGGGCGGAAAAAAAAAAAAAAAAAAGCTAGAGGTTATTCCCCTTACTTTCCTGTCCCCCATTCTCAGCCCGAGAAGGGATGGAATCTCACCAGTAAATCACCACTTTTCTCCAGACGAAGTTGAGGCTTCTGTCGCTTGAAGACTCGCTTTAGAAAGCCACGGGGAGCCTTCCGCTTTATCTGCTTCCTTTGGGAGACTGTGGTCGACAGTGCCATCCTCTCCGTCAGGTATCAGCTGCCTCAGCTTCCGAGGTGTTCCCTGCACCGCACACAAGCTCAGGGAAAACAATCCGGTCCCTGTGACGCTTCTTCAGGCCCAGAAACCGCGAACCAAACGTTCGAATCCGCCGCCAACGGAACGCGCCCGGCGCTCAGTAGTGACGTTTACCTTGCGCAAGCCCCGCCCCTGAGGCGCCTGGCTGTAGGTGGAAAACGCCCACGGTGGGCGGGTCCCGGGAACACCCTGACGTCATTAAGAGTCTGCATCCTCCTTGTATCACTTTTTGTATTATAACTTTTGCTCTGTGGAATTATTTCTCCTAGGTTCCCTAGAGATGATTGGAAGTTGTGAAGAAATACATTGGAAAGCCAAGGCAGTTTTTAAGCACTCACCCTATACTGTCCCTAATACCAATGAACAGAAGTTTGTGTTGTTTTACCAGGATTCCTAAAAAAACCAAGGCAATGCCTTCCTAGCAAGAAAGGCATGATGTTCAGATACTAACAGTTAACAATTTTACACTTCTGCATAATTTTATTTGATCTTACCTTAGGTCTTCTCATGATTCTAGCTTTTCTTTGCAAATGCTGCTCCCTTTAAAGGCTCCTCTCATTTAACCTAGCAATAACTTTCAGTTGTAGTTTAAATGCTAACTCATTGAACTTTTTGTAACTTCTTCAAGCTGTTAATTTCTCTATCATCTGTGCTACCACAGAGGTATTAATAGTTATCACCTTTATGAGCAGCAAAATCACCTGGGAGACTTATTAAACTGCGGTTTGCAGGGCCCCGCTCCCAGAGTTTCTCCTTCACTAGATCTGGGGAGGATTCAAAACTTTGCAATTCTAACAACTCAGGAGACATTGGCATTTGCTAGTCTCTGGACCAATTTTTGATTTTAATCATAATTGTCTCTAATACTATCTCTATTGTAATCTCAATATTAAATTATTGTGATTTCACCCACACAAATGATCCTTCTACTATCTGGCCTCCCATTTCTTTTTTTTTTTCTCTTTTTTTTCCCCCATTTATTTATTTTATTGCATTTTAGGTTTTGGGGTACATGTGAAGAACATGCAAAATTGTTGCATA